TATATGTATATTTATATATACATATACACCCACACACAAATACATAGATATATATATATATACATCTTCCTTCAATCAGCAATTCATAGCCAACACTTATATATTATCGTATAATAAACCCAAATGTTTCTTATCCTTCCTTGCGTAGGGTGCTGCTCCATCCAGACGAACCTTCATGGAACGACCTACCCCCTCCGGACCACCCCAGGGGCCTCAGTCTAATGCATCGGGGCCGCCCGGTGCACCTACTGAGACACGGCATGGGTCTATTGGTATGTTTGACTCCGTTTGTTAGATTCACGTACATATGTAGACGAGTAGCGAAGGCTGGCGTGCAATCGTCTTTCGGGTATATAGACAGGCATAACATTCACTCATCACTGCCCCACTTCACTACTTACTCCCACGCTCAAACCCAATACCCAAATTCTGAACCCTAACCCCAACAGGAGCGTCTGGCCCTCCAGGTGCGCCTCCCTCGATACACCCATCACGCCAAATACCCGGGCAACCACAACAAGGCCCAGGGCAACCATGGTCCTCTTACGGACAACAACCAGGACCTCCGGGACCACCCGGAATGCCCCCAGGACCACCCGGACAGGTAAGATCAGCGTACACACTTAACTAAGCGAATATATGAAAGCTACAGGGCTGGCCTGGAATGTGATGTATTCTCCGATCAAAAGTGGAATACTCGTATGAAGTATGCACATGGTCATGCATACTATAGTGTGCACATGTGATTTAGAATTCAACTGCTCATAGTAAGAGTCTTATAACTGGCGTGCATAGATTCCTTATCTAGTTTGTAGTGGCAAAGCATCCAGAAATATAGTCATCCCTCAGATTTTATCGGAGGTAAAACACAGAGAAAACATGGACCATAGACAAACTCTCTCACACAGTCACGATCATCAGTGCAGTACACGTATTCATTTTAATATACAGACATGCACTCAGTATTACAGTCGCTCATAGACGTACACGTGGGTGTCTGTGTTACCGTATCTTTTGCCCCTATGTCACTCACCCTATCCCACGGGTTGAAACTGAGTAGCCTATGTATGATATGTGTGACCTAACGCTATATTTTAGAACTCGGACCAACAGTTACTTAGTAAACGGTCTTTTCTTATATGTATACATATA